TAGATATAAATAGATTTCATATTTTATACAGGTTTTATTGAATGCTATTTGTTAACTATAACACATAAAAGGGTAATGTTCTTTCGGTGTGTTCAGAAGACGTGTGTACTGTAGCATCCTTCACCACAGGCCACTGTTCCTAGTAGTACAGGAGCAGTGCTTTAGGGGTGTGCAGGCTAGGCCAGGAATACCTGTATCGATAATAAGAAACCAGCATCCTCTCTCTGACTTCTCCTTCAATCTTCTGGTCGATGACAAGAAGCATAACTCCATATAAGTAGAGGGCTTCACACTATGAAGAAAACGGACAATGGCCAAATTCACAAGACCTGTCTGCAAGGACTGAAGTTGACAGTGGTACAAATGATCACCCCCAATAAAGTTGGATTTATATTTTAAAGTCAATGTATGTTTTTCTACAAAGGGCTCTCAACTGTTGTGTAGAATGGGCTTTAAAAATGAACTCAAACCAATTTTAATTCCTAGTGACTATTTTGCTTGTGATACCAAAATAAAATCTCAATTCTCTGAATACAGATGATCTTGAACTAATCTTTCTGTCTCTTCCTACCTCCCAAGTACTGGGATTACAGACAAGGCCACCACGCTGGCTCTGACAGACATTTCTTAAATGATCACCAATGTCTTGGATGCAAAAAGAAGATGGACTTTTTCTGAGACAGGGTTTCTCTGCATAGCCCTGGCTGTCCTAGAACTCACTCTATAGAATAGGCTGGGCTTGAACTCAGAGATCCACCTGTCTATGACTCCCAAATACTAGGCTTCTACAACTGCCTTGTTGAAGACTCTCCTTGGCCCCAGGAGCTGAGGACCAAACCCAGGGCCTTATGCTTGCTAGACAAGTGCTCTAACACTGAGCAAATCCCCAACCCCAAAGAAGGACTTCTTATACAAAGGAAGCTCATAACACAACGTAATCTTTTCTTTCATTACTCATTACATTCACACTCACACATTCTAAACTTGAAAGATAACTTTAGGCCATCTTCTTTTCTTTGTGGAATGGTATTCTGCACGCATTGATGCTGTCTAATATTATCATTACCACTATTATTACTGAGACAGGGCTTCTCTATTATGTAGCTCTGGCTGTCCTTGAACTTGCAGTGTAGACTAGGCTAGCTTTGTCCTCACAGAGATCCAACTGCCTTTGACTCCCCAGTGCAGGATTAAAGTCACGTGCTACCACATGGAGCTGTTTCTTATTCCTGAATATGTTACTTTCCAATCACTAATACTTACTAGAAGCTGTTTTCCATCCTCATTGAGAAGCACAGTTTCTAAGGTTTGTTGAATATAAACTCCTTCATTGAGATCATCGAGGTATCTAGAAGCAAAATACAAGGATGAGATATTAATGGAAACAGAAGATGTAACAGCTTTGAGGAAGGAAAGACTTTTCAAAGATAAGGCAGGACACCAGGCATTCTGGTCTTAGTTCCTCTGTAGTCTTTGCTATGCTTATGAACCTTAGTGTCCTAGAGATGTAACTCATGGTGATTTGGGGCTACAGGTTAACACTTATGGCTCTTCAAAATTGAAGGAATAGTCCCTGTTCCTGAATTACAAAACAGCAGCAGCTCAGGAGTAATGGCATAGGAACGTGACAAGGAATTGGTAAACGTGTGTGTGTGTGTGTGTGTGTGTGTATGTGTGTGATTGGTAAGCTCTTAAGAACTACTAATATGAGCCGAGCCTGATGGAACAGGCTTGCCCACTCACTCCAGGGGCAGAGGCAGACAGATTGTAAACTCAACACCAGTCTGGGAAACACAGTGAAAGCCTGTCTCAAATTAAAACAAAACAAAACAACAAATGCTAGTTCGCAAATTAATGTTACATCTAAAGTGTTAGCATAGGATCACAAATTGAAGACTGCAAAAGGGTTTACTAGGACCTGTTACAGGAGGGGAGATAGAATGAACTACCGCAAGGCATGGCAGGGACGAGTTAGCTCTGAGAATGGCACACATGTTCTGCTGGGTCCCTCCTTCTCTGCTAGTCCACCAGAATAAGCTGTCATGAAATTCATCAATCAATACCTGTTTAAGTCTACGATGTATTTATGCACACTTTGAAAGGCTAAGTAGAACCTGGTCACGATTTCTATGTTGTTTTCCCGAAACTCTTCGTCCAAATCCTGTAGCTCAGGTTTGGCTTCCAGTTTGCTTTCCCAGAACTCTGGACCCTAAGAAGGAAAACACACTTGTGTTAGAAGTCATTAAAGGCCTATTGGCTGGAAACTGCTCCAGGGTGCCGTAACATTACGCTCTAAGGTTCTTATGTAGCAGAGCGACAAAAGGGGAAGACGGCCATGCAATCCTAGAATGAAAAAGCCTCTGGGTGAATCTCAGTCAAGATGAGCATGCTTTTAAATGTATTTCAGGCACTGCACTATGTTATAGGTTGCTCTCTGTAAATGTTGTGGTAGGACTTTCCACCACACAGTACCCTTCCTTTCCTTATTTTCAAGTTAGGAGTTGGTGTTAACTTTGGTTGAAAAGCTGTCTTTTCAATGCTCCATAATTACTTTCCTATTCAGGCCCCGCGGCTCCCAGAGAACAGCTGCTTTTTTTGTTTTTGACAGGAATACCAAGGCCACAGGGAAAAGCACCTTAAAATAGCTGAAGTCAAATATGATGTCTCCATATCTCTGCTGGTCAGCCCGGTCTTTCAGCCGGAACACAGCTGGAATGAACTCAGATAGCCGCAGCACCTCAGCAATGATGGCATTGCCGCAGGAAACGATCCTCAGGATTGCCTGGCCACAGAGGTTATTCTCAGCCAGGAAATCCAACATCGTGACGGTGACCCGCTACTCCACACCACGATGGTGGGAATAATAAATGGCCTCAGAGCTGGAGTCTGTGGATCATGAGGGGAAGCCAGGACTGTAGACCAAATGGCTGATCCATTAAAAGAACCTGTATTGAAAAAAGAAAAGTTAACTTTTTTTTTTTAAAAGAAATGTGTGTATATGCCTTTGAAATACATATACAACCCAGGAAAACTATGTCAATGAGCTCTGGTATGATGAGAAGGTGTTTATTCCCCAATATTCGGGAAGAGATGACTATTGGTGGTGTTAGGTCACTTCCTTCTTTCTTCCCTTTTACTCAGATTAGGATTCCAACCTCTGGAATGACATCAAACTCAGGGAAAGGCTTTCCTTCTCAGTTGAACCCCTCTGAAGACACCCCTAAAGGCAGATTCACAGGTGATTTCAAAGCCGGTTAAGTTGAGAATAAAGGTTAGCACCACAAGGACCACACCACTGGCCTCTCTTCCAGCCTTTGCTCACTTCTCATGGAAAAAGACGGAGGGTACAGCTCATTTCTGAGCCGGCGTCAGGGCTACTGGGCTTGTGCAACCTAGTATAACCTAACTGCACAACACATCCTGCAAGTTGATATTTTCACAACTGCAAACATTACAAGTCAGAGACACATCTGGGTATATCATTTCGAGACATTTATCCAAGACACAGCAACACCACTTTTGGGTATATATCCAAAGGATGCTTAATCATGCCACAAGGATATGTGCTCAACTATGTTCATAGCAGCATGGTTTGTCATAGCCAGAACTTGTAAACAACCTAAATGCCCCTCGATTGAAGAATGGATAAGAAAAATGTGGTACATTTACACAATGGAATACTACACAGCAGAAAAAAATGACAGCTTGAATTTTGCAGGAAAATGGATGGAGCTAGAAAACATTATTTTGAGTGAGGTAACAGACACAGCAAGACAATTACCACATGTACTCACTCATAGGTGGTTTTTAAACATAAAGCAAAGAAAACCAGCCTACAAACCACAATCCTGGAGAGCTTAGACAACAATGAGGACACTAAGAGAAACTTACATAGATCTAATCTACATGGGAAGTAGAAAGTAGAAAAAGACGACAAGATCTCCTGAGTAAATTGGGAGCATGGGGACCTTGAGGGAGGATTGAAGGAGGAGGGGAGAGGGAGCAGAGAAAAATGTAGAGCTCAATAAATATCAGTAAAAAAGAAAAAAAGATAAAAGAAAAAAAGAATTTCTTATCAAAGGAACTTGTTTTTAAGAACAGCATTGTTGTCCCTATCCAGAGGACAAAAGATGGATCTATTTTTATCTTTTCATAAAGCCTCAGTTCCATAAAGAAGAAAGCAACGATCTCAAATTCAGAATGGATGCTCTTCCAGAAAAAGTTCTGGAATAAGCTTGATCACTGCAGCCTGATTCATGACTCCTTAAGAACACCTAAGGAGAACGTCTCTGGTTGTGGATGGGAGCAATAAAACTCCTTCACTACTCCACATCTATACAGAAATCAGGAGACCAACTGTTTATTTTCCTAACATAGACGAATCATGACCCATTAGAAGCCGCCCCCCTCCCACAAAGAACTTTAGCATCATACCTTAGGTGAGTGAGGGGCATCAGGGGGTGTGAGAAGAGACTTGCCCAAACTTAAAGTGAGTGACAGAACTTTTATTCAGCCCTTTCGCTCGTGTAGAAGCCTTCATGTTAGTGACTACACGGTTTTCTCGAGAGTAAATGAAAGATCAACCCCATCACCAGGGCACCGCCTCGATAAACTTCCACACTCAGCTACGGGCTACGTAGCTGAGCATCACCCCTAATGCTTCAAAGATGCGTGCAAGAGAGATTTCCATTAAGGCGTAGGCGATAGCAAGGATGCAGCCCCAACCCTGCGGGACCTAGGTTTCTCCGCCCCGGTGGCTCCGGGGACAGCACCCGACGCGGCCTACGGGAGCTGGGGGGAAAGGACCTCGAAACTGCAGGCGCGCCTCTGACTCACCTTTCAGCCGTCCGACGCTCGCCGCGCAGACTGAGCACCCGGGTCGCTCTCTCCAGCCCCAGAGAAGCCCTAAAGGGTGGAGCGGGACCCTGGTTTCTGCCCTGGCTTTCCCCAACCCATCACATGACTTGCGGGGGATAGGCCCGGGCCAGGCATCATGTGATCACTCGCGGGCGCAGACTGATGACGCAGAGCGCGCGCGGGGCGTTTCAGCCACTGGAGTAGTGGGCTGAGGAAAGGTTTTGGAGTCTGGCCTTGCGACGATCAGGTAGATGCAACTGAGCTGCCAGGTAAGAAGCGAAGAGGCACCGCGATGGGGGAGGGTTGGCGGGCGTTGTCGCCTCCTTCTGAGCCCCGGGGACTTGGGCTGTGGGCCCGGCCCTTTTCACCCGCAGCAGCGAGACGGAGGCAGGTTATCCTCCCCCCCCCTCAACTGCAGCCTCTCATCCTTCACCTCTGTGTGATTAAAAAAAAAAGAAAAGAAAAAGAAAGAAATCTGGTTTGAACTGACTTTAAAAGATGTACTCAAGACCACAGGTGCTATTTCGTTTCTGCAGGTAGAGGTAAGTTACTCTGCCTTGATGTGAACGAAGTCGGGGGCTCACCTTGTTGGGCATGGGCAGACCTGGAAATGGCCGTAGTTTTTGTTGTTACTTTGGTGGACTCAACAAATCCTTCCTGACCACTTCGTTTTCGTGGGTCGTTTCGCAGCTAATGCATGTTCCAGGTTAAGGAGGCCCCTGCCTAAGGCACTGGCAGACGTAAGCAAATAGCTGGCTTTGTAGGAGAAATGTCTGGTGGGAACTGTGATGGCGTGGACGCGGGAAGGAGCCACGGGCAAGGGAAGGCTTGAAGGGTGTGTATGTCTATGCTGGCGTGCCGGAAAAGGAGACACAACTCTGTTGAAGTTGCCACCTTGGGGTTAAGGGAGGTTAGGGGCCGAGCTTCGTGTTTGTTGCTCTGTGCCTACTACGGTGCTGCACAGAAACATGCAGAGCAGTGTTGCCCTGTTTACGCGAATAACTGGCTTAATTGACAGCAGCTCTTCCAGGAATATAAGGGAGGCAAAGTGGTGTCCTGAGCCTGATTAACTTGGTGAGACCCCAGGAAGCGCATTACTCTGTTGTAGATTGCCTTGGAGGCTATGGGTCCTGGGAACAAAAAGATCAATGTTATTGGAAAGAGGTTCCGAGAAGAGGTTGAAGTAAATCAGTGTTTTTTTTTTTTTACTTACTTTTTAAAAAAGATTTACTTATTTATTATATATACACAGTGTTCTGTCTGCCTGCATGCTAGAATAGGACACCGGATCTCATAGGTGGTTGTGAGCTACCATGTGGGTGCAGGGACTTGAACTCAGAACCTCTGGAAGAGCAGCCAGTGCTCTTAACCTCTGAGCCCCTATGCCAGTGTGTCTTAACCAAGGTGATGATGATGGTTTGTTTTCAGATGACTCTTTGTAGCGAGAGACAGATGCACATGATAGGATTGTATCAGTATCCCTGGCCTCTGCTCCGTGGATACTAGTCCACGTCCCCCAAACTAAAAATGTCTCCACATGGTGTTGAATATTCCCTGCGGGTGAGCTCCCAGGTCCTAACAAGACAAGGCCTGAGGACCAGTGTTAGAATGTTCAGATGTCTATATCAGAGACGATGTCCCAGCAGTTTAAAACTTTTGTCTTTCAATTTTAGAGGCTGAGAATTCCAAGGCCGATTTACCATCAGATTGAGTGTCTGGTGGTGAAGACCTGTTTTCTGTTTTGTAAATGGCATGGCCTTGCTGTTTCCTTCAGTGGTCGGGAGGGTGGGAGGAATGCGAGAGAGCTCTCTGGAGCTCCTTTTTTTTTAAGGGGACTAATTTCGTTCTGGAGGGTGGATCTAGTCACCTCCCCGAAGGCCTTATGTTCTTATACCACCACTTTGGACAGCAGGATTTCAACATAGAAATTGGGGCTGAGGACCCAGACATCCAGACCTTAGCAGATAGGTGAGACTGGGGGAGGGGAGAAGTAAAGAATATGCACATGCTGGGGGTGTGGAGGGGATTCGCAGTTGTGAATGGAACTCTAGACAGCTCACAGGAAAGATACGGGAAGCGATGAGAGGCTGAAGGCACGTAAGAGGAAATGCTGATCCCCGAGGAACGGATAAGGGCTCCAGGGTTGGCCCGAGAGCTGGTCCAGTGAAGCGGGAGGTGTGGGAAGCCTGGCAGACGTGCCAGCCAGCAAGGACAGGGAGAAAGGATTTGGGGACATGCCTGTAGGAGAGCTTGGCCGCCAGCATGAGCATAGAAGCAGGGGACATTCTCAGAGGGGGAGGTGGGAGGATGTTTTTAAGATTAAAGAGAGAAGATATCTTTGGTTTGCTGTGGAGAATGGTGTGGGGGAGGATTGCCGAGAGAAGGAAGGAGAAGGTCTAATGTAAAGAGGAGGTGGTCCGCCTGGGCACAGTCAGGTCACTCAACACGAGAAGAAAACAAAATGCAGAAACTGAGGCTGGGAGGGTGGAGGGAAGTAGCTATCTGAGTCTTTGGTGCAAGTGGGCGAGCAAACATCAGGAGTTTGTAGCGTCAGGTGTCATGGGTATTTCTAAGCCAGGGCTGTGGGCCGGGCATGACTACCATCTCAGCATTTGAGTGGCAAGAGTATTGCTCTGAGTTTGAGGCCAGTTGGGCTATATAGTGAGACCCTGTGAGGAACCAAAGCAGAAATAGGGCCCATTTTCTGTACAAGAAGAACTCAAGTAGATGCCTAGAGAGTTGTATGCTTTTTGCAGCTGTCTGTGCTGTGTATTTTTTTTTTTTTTTTGAGACAGGGTTTCTCTGTAGCTTTGGTGCCTGTCCCGGAACTAGAACTAGCTCTTGTAGACCAGGTTGGTCTCGAACTCACAGAGATCTGCCTGCCTCTGCCTCCCAAGTGCTGGGATTAAAGGCGTGTGCCACCACCGCCCGGCTCGATAAGGGAGTATTTAATATGAGGGTAGTAACTACAACTATAATAGATAAACCGCTGTGAGGTAAGATGTCTATGTAGAAATCCTGCTTTTACTGAATCTGAGATAATTGCAGGTGCAAATCTATTGGAACTTAAGGAACTATCAAAACCAGATTTTTTTTAAGAGTTCAAAATGCATATATATATATGGTAAGTTAAAAGCTATAGGTTTAAAAAATCTTATTAAGCTTTATTTTCTTTCTTGTAAAAGGAAATATGTCATGGACAGTCTTTATCGTCTATATGTGTTAGGCTAGTAAGAACTGGGTTTTGTAGAATTCTTTGAAGCATCAAGAAAGGGGGTGTTCTCCTTCTTAAAAACTGAAGATAGTTCTCGTCCCCACATTATATTGCGTGTGTGTGTTTGATGGCCTTGGTGTCCTCTGGGCACATGGATATTGAGTGCAGTCGTCATTGAGTGTTACGGCTGTGCTCTTTTCCCATAGGGTTTTTTTTTTTTTTCCTGACTTAGAACTCTTCCCGTTGTGTTTGAAATTTTAGGTAACAATTTCAAGATGCCAGGGCGTTCCAGTACAAATTCAGGTTCCACTCGTTACATATCCTTCAGTGGTGTGGAGTCCGCTCTCTCCTCCTTAAAAAACTTCCAAGCCTGCATCAGCTCTGCAATGGACACAGTTTCTAGTGTTGCCCTGGACCTTGTGGAGACTCAGAGTAAGTGATATGTAAAACTCACTCTGTGTGTGTGTGTGTGTGTGTGTGTGTGTGTGTGTGTGTGTGTGTATCTACTCTGAGGTAACGGTGTGGTTGCATTACTCTGGGGATGCCCTTTGCATGTTCTTGAGATAGGCGTTTAATCCTTCTGGACACATTTTCTCATCCTGTTCTGTAACCTGGTGTACCATGCAGTGCAGTTGGCCTCCACTCAGAGGTGCCCTAGAAGTTTCTGAACGACGGAGCACACGCGATCTAAAGTTCATGATGTACGTGAACCAGCAGGTACGCGAATGCGCTGGCTCACCGTCACTTCCCGTTGGTTTCCTTTACATAGTTCACGCTTGGTCATGCTGCACATAGGCTCCGCAGATGCCAGGGACTCCAGCAGAGGAAGGCCTCACAGGAAGAATTCTGCTTGGTGATTTTTAAGGAGAAGATTTTGAACAATGCTCATTCCTTTTGGGGGCTAGAGTTATTATTACTTTTTCATGTATTGAGAGCCAGGGGAGTGGCATAATATTTTTTTTCTTTTTCCTTAAATGGTTCTATGTTTGAACAGTTTGTGATGATGGGCTTTGACATGTTTTTCTCTTTGTCTATCCTGATTGAGTTTTAAGGATCTAAGTGTCAAGTTGGAAGAGTTTCTGTTGCTATTTCTTCATGTATTTCCCGCTCTCCAGTCTCCTTTCCTTTTACAATTCAATTACATGCAGATGAGATTGCTTGATATAAATCACATAGGGCTTGGTTTTTTGTGTGTTTTTTCCTCTGACTTTGACTAGTTTCTGTGCTGTGTTTTTAAATTCATTTGTCGTATTTACTGTGGTCTGCTGTCAATTCTATATAGTGAATTTAAAATTTCTGGTAACTATGCTGTTTCAACCACACAACAGGATTAAATGGAACCTTTTGTGTCCACTTTTCCATTTCTCTTTTTGTCATGTTCTTGTTTTCTTATTCATTTTTTAAGTTTTATTTTTATGTTTTCCTATTCATTTTTAAAGATTATTATATATAATAGGCACATAAATATATATTATATAATATGCCAATATAACATATAATCTATATTATCAGGCTTGAGTTGTACATCTTGCCGGCCCCTTCTCCACCCTGGAGTCTGTGAAGCATGGTTTTGGTATCTGTTTTAACATCATTGCCTGTCATTGCTGTCCTTTCTCAGTGTCCTTCTAGTCTGATTTCCTCATGTATATTATGTTGCCAGTTCAAGTTTTGTTGTCTTCTGTCGTAGTTGGCTTCCTTAGCTGTCAACCTGAAACAAACTTGGAGACACCTTGGAAGAGGTAGCCTCATCTGAAGAATTGTCCTGATCAGACCGGCCGTGTCTATGAAGCATTTATTCATTGCTAATTGATGTGGAAGGGCTCAGCCCACTGTGGGCTGTGCCCTCCTCAGGCAGGTGGGCCTGGACTGGACGGGAAGAGTGGCAGAGCAGGCCGGGAGCAGTGTTCCTGCATGGCTTCTGCTTCACACTTCTGCTTTGACTTCCCTCGATAGACGGACTGCAGCCTTTGAGCGGAAACGGATCCTTTCCTTCTTTAATTTGCTCTTGTTTGTGGTGTTTATTACAACAATAGAAAACAGACAATTTTTTTTTTTTTTTGATTTTTCGAGACAGGGTTTCTCCGTAGTTTTGGAGCCTGTCTTGGAACTAGCTCTTGTAGACCAGGCTGGCCTCGAACTCACAGAGATCTGCCTGCCTCTGCCTCCCGAGTGCTGGGATTAAAGTCGTGTGCCACTACCGCCCGGCTCTAGGCAAATACACTTTTAAAGAGAGTTGAAATTTGTTTTGCTGGGAAACCAAATAATTTGTGGATTAGGTGGCTCTATTTTTAGATAAGCTTTGTAATTTGGTTGGGTGTAGGGTAGTTGTGATGGCTATTCTTAGTTGTCAACTTGACTACATCTGGAATTAACTAAAACCCAAGTGGCATGGTACACCTGTAAGGGATTTTTTTTTTTCCTAATTGAATCATTTGAAGTAGAAGACCCACTTTTACTCTGGATCTTTTGAGATAGGAATATCCAGCTTTAATTCAGATCATTTGTTGAGGGAAAATCCAGTTTTCATTTGGGCCCACGCTCTGCTGTCAGCCTGTATAAAGGACATGGAAGAAGGAAGCTTTTGTTCTTTGCCTGCTTGTTTTTACTCTCACTGGCAAATCCATTTCTTCACTGGTCTCAGAATCCACTCTTTTGGGATTTCCATGTATACTAAAGATCAACTGAGACATCCAGCCTCATGAACAACTACTCATTTCTTGGGCCTTATGTTGGTAGACTGCTACTGTTGACTAGCTGGATCACAGCCTGCAAGCTGTTCCAATAAAATTCCTCTCTCTATGTATATAGCTTCTGTCTGTCTGTCTGTCTGTCTGTCTATCTATCTATCTATCTTTCTAGTTATAAATCCTGTTCCTTTAGAGAATCCTGACTAATACAGTAGCCTTTAGTAGGGCTTGCATCATGTTGCCTTTCATTGTTCTCTGGAGGTGCAGCAGCTTCACTTGGCTCTGGGTGGGTAGAATTCAAGTGTCTCCGAGTCCTCTGCGAATCTTTTGCTTCTTAGCTCCCAGCAGTTGTCCTCAGTGTCTCAGGATTCAGCCCCAGACTCCAGGGAATGCCTGGACTGATTCATAGCTTGCTCCTAGCACTCTGTCTTGCAAGCTCCTGCTGCCTCCGCCTCCCTGTGCTCCAGAGTCTTCTCATCCTTTAGGCTGCTATGCTCAGTGTGGATCCTTCCTCCCTAATTCTGGTCTGGGTGTGTCCTGTTGTCTGAAAGTAGTTACAGCATTATTTTGGCCAGCTTTTGTAAATTCTTGAAAAGATGCCCATGTCTATTTCAGTCACTCCTTCATGTCTGGCAGCATCAGTCACTTATGATCTCTTTAGTGATGGCCTTCAGTGTCTTGACCTTGCTCCATCTGATTTGGATCCTGTTCTTGGTGGTGATGACCATTTAGCTTAAAGCTTGCCAGTCCTTACTTTAGAGCTATAGTCAGTAAATATTTATTAATTTTTTTTAGGGACTAGAGAGCAGGCTTAGTGGATAAGAACATTTATTCTTACGTGGGACCCAGATTTGATCCCCAGAACCCACTTGGTAGCTCAAAACTAGCCATAACTCAAGTTCTAAGAGGTCTGACCCACTCATCTGACCTTCATGGGCACCAGCCATGCATGTGGTGCACGTGTATATGGATGCAGATTACACACTCAAACACATAAAAAGAGCTAGATTTATTTATCCTGATTATTTGGGTTAAATTTGCAGCAAATACTTGGTTTTTAATTAAAAAAAAAAAGCTCACAAGATGAATTTTGACTAAGTTATATGGAGAAGAAAACCAGGAGCCGAAGAGTCTGGCCATGTACAGATGCAATGAGGAGCAGCCTGGAGTACCAGTACTGTGTGTGTGCAGATGCCGTGAGGGGCAGCCTGCAGTACCAGTACTGTGTGTAATCACAGATTCTTCAAAATTGGAATTTTTGTTTAAAATTCTTATTAGCACCAAAACCTGTTAGGTGTTGTCCTTTAGATTCAGACTCATGTTCTTCATTTCTGGTAGATGCTCAGGTTTCAGTGATCCCAGTTGGTCTGTAATGTCATTCTCTGCGTCAAAAGCACAGTGGAAACACAGCCTGTAACACACCCAAGGCCCGTCCCTGTTCAGCCGTCAGGGTGTGGAGTAGCAGTGTTTACCTCTGCACGTTTACCTCTGCATCACACTGTTTGAAGAGATGTCCCTAACGATGGAGATGCAGTAAATACAGTAAGCTGTGCTGGTCATCAAGGCGACATTTCTGTACTGTGAGAGAGGATGGAGAGCGACGCAGTGACTTTCCACACTGGTGTCCTTAGGTGCCACCACTGTGGTTCATTTCAGGGCACCCACAGTATTTCCCCACAAGGCTTTTGTGCAGCCGAAAATACTCCATGATAAACAACAACAACAAACAGCCATGTCTTATAGTTTTTAAAAGTACGGTCTTGATCTATCTACCTGTGGGCTCTAGTCCAGTCTGGTAAGCTGTTTTAGGAAACTGAATTTGAATGCTGACAAACAAGAGGTGGATGGCGAGAGAAAGTCTTTCAGAGATGAGGCCGAGGGCAACCCATCCGCGCAAGCACTCGTTCATTACGGGAGGTTTTTTTTTAGACCATTGAACATTTTGGCTTAATATAATTAAATAGAAGGCATATGTTGTCAATTAAAATGTTACTTAAAATTCAAGAAGTTTTTGTTATATTTCCAAATTGTTAGTATAGCTTTCCCTTTTTTACAGGGATTTCCAAGCATTTATAAAAGCCCCAAACTCTAATCATAGTCTATTGTACATTAAATTAGTTCCTCATGGCCTAAGTTATATAAAAATAAAATTACAGACCCTTCCAAAATTTTATAGAAAACAATAATCTTTAGTGTAAGACATTTTTCTTGGTACTTTTTAAAAATTGGCAAATAAAAGTGGATATTTTGGGGGTACCATGTGACATTTTGATACTTACACTGTACAGTATTCAAACCAGTTTAGGCATACGTTCTTAGACATTGTGATGGTTACTTTTAACTTGTCTGGTTGACATAGCCTAGTATTACCTGTTATATATTGCATTATATGTACATATAAAATATATACATTGTTATATATTGAAATACATGTATTATATATAATATGTTATTTATAGTTGCATATTATTTATTATGCAATTCTATCCAGACATTAGAAAGGATAGAATCTTTCTTTTATGATTTATTTATTTATTTTTTTAAGTTTCATTTTACATATCAACCATAATTCTCCCTCTCACCCCTCCTCCCGCCTCTCCTACTTCCCCCTCCCCCAGCCTACCTCCTATCCACTCTTCCCAAAGGGTAAGGGCTCCCATGGGGAGTCAACAAAGCCTGGCCCATTAAGTTGAGACGGGACCAAGCCCCTTCCCCCTGCATTAAGGCTGAGCATGGCATCTCACC